CTTGCCTTCTCCCATTATTCAGCTCCCCACACTGTTCAATCTTCATTCCCTTAATTCATCATTCCTCTCATTCAGTTGATTAATAACTATTCTTTTGAATAAATACCCGACCTTTGGTTCTAAGTGCTACTCCATACCACAGTCATTACTTCCACACTATACTCTGTGTTATTTTTCCCCAGAGTTTGAAGCACCAACCCCCCTCCCAGAGACAAAAGAGAATGTGGTGTGTGCCCTGGGCCTGGTTGTGGGTCTAGTTGGCATCATTGTTGGGACCATCTTCATCATCAAGGGAATGCGCAAGGTCAATGCTGGTGAACGCCGAGGACCTCTGTGAGGCACCTGCAGGTGGGTTTGATGTGATCAGAGGAAGACATAGATGGAGTTATCCAAGGGTAGGAGACAGAGTGGGGAAAAGGAAGGATATGTGATGTCTTTAAAGGAAAATGATAGGGAAGTTATAGTTCTTTTTTTTTAAGATTTTGTTTATTCGACAGAGAGAGAAATAGTGAGAGCAGGAACACAAACAGGGGGAATGGGAGAGGGAGAAGCAGGCTTCTCACTGAGCAAGGACCCCCATGCAGGGCTCAATCCCAGGACCCTGAGATCATGACCTGAGCAGAAGGCAGACACCCAACCGACTGAGCCACCCAGGTGCCCCGGAAAGTGATAGTTCTTTGATTTCTTTTTGCTAGGACAGAATCAGACATTAGCATCATCTGGTATCCCAAAGCTTCAGGGTCCCATATTCCTTCCCATACATGTACACCTACACCACAACTTCAATCTTGGAAATCATCTCCACTACCTAAGACCAATTTTTCACATCAGGCTATTGAATCAGGTGATCTAGGAAAGATTTGGGCACTTCCTTGTTTATGATTCCAGAGGCAGGCCTTCAGTTCAGGAACATTCCCAGAGTTTGGCTCACTTAGGGTTAGGGCAGATTAACTACATGAAATGAAAATCCCTTGAAGGCCAATGCCTTCTCTAATCTGAAAAGTGGTTAAAACTTCTAAGAGAAGGTAAGCCATGGTCCGCTTATTCATACTTACTTGGAGAGTAGGGGGTGCAGTTCATGTGGAAAAGTTGTATATACTAGACAGAGGTCAGATGAATATTTAAGAACTTTTCCAAAGTCAAAGGATTAAGGGAGAAGAAGAAGGAATCTGAAAAAGAAAAAAGAGCTTAAAATACTCATCTTAGCTCTTTAGTAATTCTGTGTGTCCTGCTACAGGCAATGCAGTTTCCTAGAGAGAAGATCAATGAAGAAATTTGTGCTTCAGTAACTTTATAAACCTGGCAATATTTCAACCATTCATCTCGCTGAAGACAAAAATTCTTCCACATTTTCCAGACCTTTAGCTGTTTTAATAATAATGATGCCTTCCTGCTCTGTCCACATTCTGATTTCTAGTTATTCCCTGTTTTTTGCCCCTTCCTGGGTCTGTTTTCTTCCATTTCCTACCATCATTTAATATCACCATGTAATGCTCTAGAATAGACCCCATAGTATCGTGTCTCGGCTGTGGAATCTTATGAATGTTCAATACAGACATCCCTTCTATACTTATTGCTTGGGTTTCTTCAAAATGTGATTGTGATTTTTTTTTAACACAATAAACTATTTGATGGGTCTGAAATGAAGTTTTGGTGTCTAAGCCAGTTCTTCACAGGGACTAGGGAATATATGTGATTCTTTCACCCTGAAATTTGTGAATGTTGAATGTATGTGATAAGTTATGTAAGCAATTAGAGATATCTAGGTTTGGGGCACCTGGGTGGCTGAGTCAGTTAAATGTTTGACTCTTGAATTTGGCTCAGGTCATGGTCTCAGCATCGTGAGATCAAGCCTCATGCAGATTCTGCACTCAGACCAGAGTCTATGATCCTCTGTCTTGTTTCTTATTTCTTAAATTCCACATACCAATGAAATCATATGATGATTGTCTTTCTCTGATTAACTTCTTTCACTTAGCATAATACCCTCTAGTTCCATCCATGACATTGCAAATGGGAAGATTTCATTCTTTGATGTATATATATATATACATACCACATCTTCTTTATCCATTCATCTGTCAATGGATATTTGGGTTCTCTCCATAGTTTGGCTATTGTGGATATTGCTGCTATAAACATTGGGGTGCAGGTACCCTTTCAGATCACTACATTTGAATCTTTGGGGTAAATACCCAGTAGTGCAATTCCTGGGTCATAGGGTAGCTCTATTTCCAATTTTTTGAGGAAACTCCATACTGTTTTCCAGAATGGCTGTACCAGCTTGCATTCCCACCAACAGTGTAGGAGGGCTTCCCTTTCTCCGCATCCTTGTCAGCATCTGTCATTTCATTACTTGTTAATTTTAGCCATTCTGACTGGTATGAGGTGGTAGCTCACTGTGGGTTTGTATTTCCCTGATGCACAGTGATGTTGAGCACTTTTTCATGTGTCTGTTGGCCATTTGGATGTCTTCTTTGCAGAAATGTCTGTTCATGTCTTCTGCCCATTTCTTGATTGGAATATTTGTTCCTTGGCTTTTGAGTTTGATAAGTTCTTTATACATTTTGGATACTAGCCCTTTATCTGATATGTCATTTCCAAACACCTTCTCCCATTCTGTCAGTTGTCTTTTGGTTCAGTCGACTGTTTTCTTTGCTGTGCAAAAGATTTATCTTGATGAAGTCTCAAAGGTTCATTTGTGCCTTTGTTTCCCTTGCCTTTGGCGATATTTCTAGGAAGAAGTTGTTGCAGCCTAGGTTGAAGAGGTTGCTGCTAGTGTTCTCCTCAAGGATTTTGATGGATTCCTGTCTCACATTTAGGTCTTTCATCCATTTTGAGTGTATTTTTGTGTATGATGTAAGAGAATGGTCCAGTTTCATTCTTCTGCATGTGGCTATCCAATTTTCCCAACACCACTTGTAGAAGAGACTGTCTTTTTTCCATTGGATATTCTCTCCTGCTTCGTCAAAGATTAGTTGACCATAGAGTTGAGGGTCCATTTCTGAGTTCTCTATTCTGTTCCATTGATCTACTTGTATTTTTTTGTGCCAGTACCATACTGTCTTGATGATTACAGCTTTGTAATAGAGTAATAAAGCTTGAAGTCTAGAATTGTGATGCCCCCAGCTTTGGTTTTCTTTTTCAACTTTCCTCTGACTATTTGGGATCTTTTCTGTTTCCAACAAATTTTAGGATTATTTGTTCCAGTTCTGTGAAAAAAATTTGATGGTATTTTGATAGGGATTACTTTAAATGTGTAGATTGATCTGGGTAGCATAGACATTTTAACAGTGTTTGTTTTTCCAATCCATGAGCATGGAACATTTTTCCATTTCTTTGTGTCTTCCTCAATTTTTTTCATCAGTATTCTATAGTTTTCTGAGTACAGATCTTTTGCCTCTTTGGTAAGATTTATTCCTAGGTATCTTATGGTTTTGGGTGCAATTGTAAATAGGATTGACTCCTTAATTTCTCTTTCTTCTGTCTTGTTGTTGGTGTATAAAAATGCAACTGATTTCTGTGCATTGATCTTAAATCCTGCCACTTTACTGAATTCCTGTATGAGTACTAGCAGTTTTGGGGTGGAGTCTTTTGGATTTTCCACATAAAGTATCATATCACCTGCAAAGAGTGAGAGTTTGACTTCTTTGCCAATTTGGTGTCTTTTATTTCTTTTTGTTATCTGATTGCTGAGGCTGGGACTTCTCGTACTATGTTGAACAGCAGAGGTGATAGTGGACATCCATCCTGTGTTCCTAACCTTAGGAGAAAAGCTCTCAGTTTTTTCCTACTGAGAATGATATTTGCTGCAGGTTTTTCAAAGATGGGTTTTATAATATTTTTTAAAGACTTTTATTTATTTATTGAGAGAGAGAGAGAGAATGGTAGTGAGAGAGCATGAGAGGGAAGAAGGTCAGAGGGAGAAGCAGACTCCCTGCTGAGCAGGGAGCCCAATGCGGGACTCGATCCTGGGACTCCAGGATCATGACCTGAGCCAAAGGCAGTCACCTAATCAGCTGAGCCACCCAGGCACCCGAGTTTTATAAAATTGAGGTATGTACCCTCTATCTCTATATTGTGAAGAGTTTTAATCAAGAAAGGATGCTTGGGGTGCCTGGGTGGCCCAGTTGTTAAGCATCTGCCTTCGGCTCAGGTCATGATCCCAGGGTCCTGGGATCGAGCCCCACGTCCAGTTCCCCACTCCACAGGGAGCCTGCTTCTTTCTCTCCCTTTGCCTCTCTCCCTGCTTGTGCTCTTTCTTGCTATCTCTATCACTATCTGTCTCTCTATATCAAATAAACAAATAAAATCTTAAAAAAAAAGAAAGAATGCTGTGATTGTCAAATGGTTATCCCAGGGATAAATCCCACTTGGTCATGGTGAATAATCCTTCTAATGTACTGTTGGATCCTATTGGTTAGTATTTTGGTGTGAATTTTTGCATCCATGTTCATCAGGAATATTGTTCTGTAATTCTCCTTTTTGATGGGGTCTTTGTCTGGTTTGGGGATCAAGGTAATGTTAGCTTCATAGAACGAGTTTGGAAGTTTTCCTTCCATTTCTATTTTTTGGAACAGTTTCAGAAGAATAGGTATTAATTCTTCTTGAAATGTTTGGTAGAATTCCCTGGGAAGCCATCTGGCCCTGGGCTTTTGTTTGTTGGGAGATTTTTGATGACTGCTTCAATTTCCTTAGTGGTTATAGGTCTGTTCAGGTTTTCTATTTCTTCCTGGTTCAGTTTTGGTAGTTGATACATCTCTAGGAATGCATCCATTTCTTCCAGATTATCTAATTTGCTGGCATAGAGTTGCTCGTAATATGTTCCTAGAATTCTTTGTATTTCTTTGGTGTTGGTTGTGATCTCTCCTCTTTCGTTAATGATTTTGTTGATTTCAGTCATTTCTCTTTTGGTTTTGATAAGTCTGGCCAGGGGTTTATCAATCTTGTTAATTCTTTCAAAGAACGAGCTCCTACTTTCGTTGATCTGTTCTACTGTTCTTTTGGTTTCTAGTTCATTGATTTCTGCTCTGATCTTTATTATTTCTCTTCTCCTGCTGGGTTTAGGCTTTATTTGCTGTTTTTTCTCTAGCTCCTTTAGGTGTAGGGTTAGGTTGTGTATTTGAGACCCTTCTTGTTTCTTGAGAAAGGCTTGAATTGCTATATACTTTCTTCTTAAGACTGCCTTTGCTGCATCCCAAAGATTTTGAACAGTTGTGTTTCCATTTTCATTGGTTTCCATGAATTTTTTTAATTCTTCTTTAATTTCCTGGTCGACCCATTCATTCTTTACTAGGATGCTCTTAGCCTCCATGTATTTGAGTTCTTTCCGACTTTCCTCTTGTGATTGAGTTCTAGTTTCAAAGCATTGTGGTCTGAAAATATGCAGGGAATGATCCCAATCTTTTGGTACCGGTTGAGACCTGATTTGTGACCTAGGATGTGATCTCTTCTAGAGAATGTTTCCTGGGCACTAGAGAAGAATGTGTATTCTGTTGCTTTGGGATGGAATGTTCTGAATATGTCTGTGAAGTCCATTTGGTCCCGTGTGTCACTTAAAGTCTTTATTTCCTTGTGGATCTTTTGCTTAGATGATCTGTCCATTTCAGTGAGGGGGGTGTTAAAGTCCCCCACTATTATTGTATTGTTGTCAATGTGTTTCTTTGCTTTTGTTATTAATTGCCTTATATAAATGGCTGCTCCCATGTTAGGGGCATAGATATTTACAACTGTTAGATCTAAGTAGGATATAGTGTCCTTCTTCATCTCTTATTACAGTCTTTGGTTTAAAATCTGATTTGTCTGATATAAGGATTGCCACCCCAGCTTTCTTTTGCTGTCCATTATCATGATAAATTGTTTTCCACCCCCTCACTTTCAATCTGGAACTGTCTTTGGGTCTAAAATGAGTCTCTTGAAGACAGCATATCGATGGGTCTTGTTTTTTTATCCAATCTGATAGCCTGTGTCTTTTGATTGGGGCATTTAGCCCATTTACATTCAGGATAGCTATTGAAAGATATGAATTTAGTCCCATTGTATTGTCTGTAAGGTGACTGTTACTGTATACTGTGTACTTGTCTCTGTTCCTTTCTGGTCTATGTTACTTTTGGGCTCTCTCTTTGCTTAGAGGACCCCTTTCAATATTTCTTGGAGGGCTGGTTTGGTGATTGCATCTTCTTTTAGTTTCTGTTTGTCCTGGAAGCTTTTTATCTCTCCTATTTTCAATGACAACCTAGCTGGATATAGTATTCTTGGCTACATATTTTTCTCATTTAGTACCCTGAATCTATCATGCCACTCCTTTCTGGCCTGCTAGGTCTCTATGGATAGGTCTGTTGCTAATCTAATGTTTCTACCATTGTAGGTTATAGATCTCTTCTCCCGAGCTGCTTTCAGAATTTTCTCTTTGTCTCTGAGATCTATAAGTTTTACTATTAGATGTGTGGGTGTTGACCTATTGTTATTGATTTTGAGGAGGGTTCTCTGTGCCGTCTGTATTTTGATGCCTGTTTCCTTCCCCTAATTAGGGAAGTTCTCTGCTATAATTTGCTCCAATATACCTTCTGCCCTTTCTTTCCTTATTCTGGAATCCCCATTATTCTCACACTGTTTCTCTTTATGGTATCCCTCATCTCTCAAATTCT